TCGTCCATGGGGGATTTAGAATACATACCAGCTTATGCCAACAAGATTCTTCTTTAAATAGAGGCCAGATGGGATAATAAGATTAAAATGACTGGCCTCTAAAGGTCTTAGTGAAGTTCTTCACTTTGCTGCATCACTTCCACTACTTTGTTATTCCATGTTTTTTGTGATTAGGAGGTGTTTTGAGTTTTGGACGCAATGTTTATTTTTTGGTAGTTAGAATCTGGTGGTTGAATTTTCAAGTACATGTACTATTATGTATAGTACTGAGGCTTTAAATATCTTTTTACTTACACAGTTGTTGCCAGTTTTAAGTATTCTGCACCTGGGGTTTTCTTCCTCCTATCATTTTTTTTGTTCGTTTATGGGTTTTTTTCTTTTTCTTTTTACTATAGCTAACAGTTTGAATGTAGCCATATGCTCTGAATGTTTTTTGTACAGTACCTTTGTGAAGGTTTTTAAAAATATATATTAGTAGTTTATCTTGGTAATGTTATGCTTTTAATCTTTAGCATGTAATTATGTCCTTGCATACTGCGTGTAATCAGAAGCGTTCTCTATTCCTGGTTAGGAGGTTGAATGCAGCATGCATCTTTTTAAAATGTTAATTATACAAACTGTGTTTATTTTGTTAATTTTGGGCTCTATAGATGTTTCATTTAATTTGATATCAGACTTTCCTTTTCTGAGATTCTTTTCAGTCAAATTCTTGTTATATGTGAAATGTTTTTCCATTTAGTTTGTAGTTACACTAGTTAACAATGGTTAATGTGGGTTAATGTGATGCTTGTTACTATTATTTCATTGTTCATTAATATGTTGTTTTTTACTACCCACAGGCTCCTGAAGCAGAGTCCATCAGGACTGAGATTTTGTAATTAAGTATATGTGCACTATTTCCCCCCACCTCTTTTTATCTTCTTTGATGTTTTTCTTCTTCTCTCCATTTTTAGTCCAATGTTGGCAGTGACTATGTGTTCTCTAAGGATCTTTCTTGGACTTCCTTTTCAAAGTTCATGGCAATTCGGCACATGCTTGTGGCTTTGGGAGATCCTGGGTGCTAAAAGGGATTACAGACCCTACAGTATTTTGATGACTATTTATGATATCTTTGCACTATTCTCATTGGAGTTAAACAGGAGCAATGCATTGTGTGCTACTGCATATCTTGTACGGAAGCTGATAGATTTCCATATCACTTGCCACTTCATTTTGCTATTTATTTTTTTCAATGAACCATAGTTAAGCATAATACAGCTTCGTTCACCCTGCTAGCCCTACCGTGCAGGCAGCTGGTGTAGGCTTAGCCGCATCATAACTGGAGGTCCACTACATGGCAATGAGAAAAATGTTTAACTCTTCGCTGCTGCCTAGTGGTCCTAAATGTGGATGCAACCCAGATATGTATGTCTAAGCAAACTACTTGAGGTGAAAAATTTAGGGAGACAAAGGCAAGAATAGATGCTGCTGTAGAATTGAAACTTCGCAGCGCATATGCCAGAAACTATTTGGCATTTAAGCCAGTACTGAGAACATAACCCTTGTCAAATTAGGCCAATTTTTTTTTGTATCCCCGAGTCCCAGTGATCAGCAGGTTCTCTGTAGTCAATACTCCATCTTCAGCCAACACCATAAAACCTCTCATAAAGCATCAAACAGCAGAGTGTTTTCATGAAGAGCCACCTAGAAAATGCCTGGTTGGGTGTTATACTATATTTATTTATCAAAAATGTGACAGGTAACTTTGTAGTTATTCCCTTTTCCACATTTTGTCCCCGAGCAAGCCAAATGTAAGAGCAAACCCCCCTCCAAATATTATTTCACATCCTAAAGAGTACGTTTTCTATTTTTCTCAGCCAAGATTCTACTGAAATTACTTTCCCTCTTTACAGAACTGGAGTGGACTGTGGTGCCGTTTGATATTCACAAGATTGACAGCTGTTCCTCAGACAGGAACTATATACCCATCTCAAATGACGTCCTCCTGAGGAAGAATGCTTATCTCAGCAAGTGGAAAAGAAGATTCATCCAGCTCCTCCCCTTGTGTGGAAGAGAAATGCGTCTTTTAAAATACAGGCAGAATCTGGTACTGGGGCAAGAAAAGGAGCTAATATTATTCTTATGTCTCTGATTTAAAGCTGCAGTCTACAAGACCTTGGGGAAATTTAGGAGAAGTAAGTAGGAATTGTTTGTTGCAGTGATCCTTTTGTTTCTAAGGCATGAACTTTTAACCAGGAATTTGCAGTTGGGCATTTAACTTACTTTGATGGGTGTGTACTACAGTAGCTGAAATCTTTGTTTCTGATGTTTACTTTCTTCTAGGCAAACGCACTGCATGTGTCATGTAGGTAACAAAGCAATACCATCTTATGGTTTTCTCAGAACCTTAACCTTTATTATCCTTATCTTTTGGAGATCCTTTTTAAATTGCTTTCTATCTTTGTAGCAGTTCTATATTTTTTACATTCTCGCTTTATATTCTTGCTATAGACATAGGAGGTGGCTCTACACATGTCATTTCATTTATTTAGTCTTTTTAATTTTGGACTTACCAGTAAGGTCATAGGCTGCATAGGCCCTATCTAGTTTTTTAACTTTTATAATCTGGTCTTAAACTGTAATAATATGTTCATTCATTTGGTCCTATCTCACCTGTTGGGTATAAAGGGAAGAATGCCAGGTAAAGGTATTCCTCCTGAATAACAGGTGGTAGCAGCAGTAATGAGAAGCAGCTACATCAAGACAGGAAGGTGGGGCCAGGGTGTGTAAAACCCAGTGAGCTTGTAGGAGAGGAGGGCTGAAACCTTCCCTTTTCACTCTACATGCTCAACCTCACCTTCAGAATTCAATATTATTGGGGGGGGGGGGGGAGACAGAATTCCAGCATCAAAAAAATCTTGTAGTGTGGGGGTGGGGTTGTTAAGGAAAGAGAAATCCAGTTAATTGGGATAATTCCATCAGTACTATGTTTCATTCTGCTTGCCTACTACAGCAATGAGTAACTAGCGAAGGGAACTGTCTGGTTATTTTGAAATGAAAATTACTTTCAGAAAGGCAACTTGCTTTTACACTGCTTGGATGTAGGACCAATAATACATCCTTGTGTGAGGCACCCATTAGAAGGCAGATATGTGGGCTAGGTCACATATTAGTGATTATTACTATTAATGCTGGCTGTTGTTTTATTTTAATTGTGTTTTGTACGTCACCCAGAGTCACACTGTTTGATTTGGGCAGCCATATGAATTCTAGAAATAATAATATGAAAGGCTGCCCAGTTACATAAAGCAGGGTTCCTCAACCTTGGCAACTTTAAGACGGGTGGACTTCAACTCCCAGAATTCCCCAGCCAGCAAGGGAAGTCCACCAGTCTTAAAGTTGCCAAGGTTGAGGAACTCTGACATAAAGGATATCTAAAATCATTTAAGTAAAAAAACTGCAAGTTACACTCTGATGTGTTTAACTATATGGCCAGGTTTGTATAACACAGTGAACCATAGATTAGCCAACCATATTTTGGCCCAGTATATTGTACAAACACATACTGTTATTTTAAGGCTTGATATGTTGTGCAGAGGTAGCAAACTAGATGAACTCTAGAATCCCAGGATAAGGTGGGTGGGTGATTTGAGAAAAGCCCACAAAACAGAAACTGTGGGAAAACTGAAATACTTGCCATACAAATTTAAACTTTGGTTTTTTACAACTTTAACAGTATGAAAGATAATATTTATAACAACTAAATGGTTCTAATTTGTAGATTTATGTATGCATAGCAAATAAGATTAACTCAGTTTAGTTTAGTGAACACTAGACTGCTACTGAAAATAGCATAGGATTGCAGACTCAGCAGTAACAATAGCACATGCAAAACTTAAAATACCCAATACCAGAGAGAGCTATAAACTTCTGTACTCTGTCTCACATGTGAACGTACCATATTATTTTGTACTTGATATGGTCAATAGACTAAATCAATAAAGTTGAACTGAACTGAACCATATTATTTTGCCACAAAAAATAAGGGAAAATAAACCTCCTTCCCTACATATTGGAACAGAAAGAATATCATACGATTCACTTTAAAGACTAACAATAAGCAATCCAGACATTTACTCAAAAATTATAACGATGAAACATTTGACTTTGGTCTGAAGTTGCAAGTACACACACAATTATTCTCTATTTTTCCGACCATCTAAACGTCTTTATGCTAAGCCCTGAACCTTTTTCTCAATCCATTTTACTCATTCCAAAAATTATTTGGATTATTTCATAATCACCTCTCCCGACAAGCTTCCTATTTTCCGCTGGAAACAAATCACAAAGGAGTAGCGTGTTAAAACACTTAACCTCTAAAGACCGGCGCACGCGACAGGAAGCCAAGCAATTGTAACGCCACTAGCAAGCATCCAGCTATAAGAGCAACACCTGGAAACTGAT